TCCCCTTTCCCTTCTCTTTCCCCTCGGAACCCAGCAAGCCTGGAGTCTTTCGAACCCACCCAGGCGCTGGGTTCCTTGCGAACCCAGCACGCTTGCCCGAGTTGGGTTCCAAGGAACCCAGGCGTTGGGTTCCCTCGAACCCATGCCTGGGTTCTTCAAACCAGCTGGGTTCCAAGGAACCCAGGCGTGGGTTCGAAGAATCCAACACGCGAAAGCAAGCAAGGAAGAGGAAGGAAAAAAAAAGGGCGTTGTTGGGTTCGATTCAACCCGGGGCTAGGTTTGTTTGGTGCTGGGTTTGTTTGCTGGAGGAAGAAGATGATGGCAAATTCGTAATTTTGGTGAGCCCCACTTTTGTTGGGTTGGGTAAGGACATGACATGTCACATTGCCATGTCATTATTTATTCATTTATACAATTGACGTGTCTCAAATGTTTGACATGTCATTAAATTGTCGTGAGATAACGGTGAGATTTTAACGGAAGGACCGAATCGGGGTAAAAATGGTAAACAGTATGGATTAAATCAGGGATTTTTTTAGTTCAGGGACCAAATCGAAAGTCCGTACAATAGTTCAGGGACCAAAATAGGATTTTTACCTTATAATTATAATGTCATTAAATTCTCCCTGATACTAGTCGCTTCAGGAATTTCCTAGAAATAGGATTGTTGACCGTGAAGCTTATTTGGTTACACAACTCGCTAAGAATATCTCCTCCCCAAAGCTTGTCAATTCTTTTATTAGAAATCAAAAACGCCGGCTAAAGGCATATAGCAAGGTACCTTCCGAGGAAGTAGAAAGTGGGCCACGTAAGCTTCGTGACATAAACCCTCCATAAGAATAGACACTCTTCCATTGTACAACATAGTAGAACATTTGATTTGGTATCCCATCTTTAAGATTTCAAAATTGTTGGGAGGGGATTGTTAAGACCTTAATCAAGACGTCAAGAAGAAATATAGAAGCCCTTACAATGGTCCTCTCAATCCTCACTCCATCTTTTTGCCTGATTAGTGTTATTCTCAAACAACCGTTTTAAACACTTTTGAGTCATTTTACATACTTTTTCGATATTATTATTTTAGTGTACCAAAGTAATATAAGTACGCACTTAAATAACAATTGGCTAAAAGGAAATTGATCATCAAATGACTAATCAATTACCTTACAAGACAAGGGTATGGCGAAGGAATCAATAAATGAAATATCCAATGGATATTGGCTAGAATTAAGGTGGGAAATTAGCAGACAGGCGCCCTAAAGTTGTTATCCCTGAACCAGAAAACCATGGCTCATTTAAAAGATCAGACCAATCGTTTGCTGATGAGATCTTTTTTATTTAAAAAAAGAAAAGAAGTTAAACAGATGTTTACATTAAACAAAAAATTAAAGAGCAGAAAACGAAATCAATGATATCATTTCATAAAATAAAATAAGTCAATCATTAAGACACAAAGCCGGTAAACATCAACATCTTCGTTTTATGATTTTATCAGAACAAGATATTTTGATAATAATACAATAACTTAATAAATAGAAGTAGGTTGATCAAATCTCATTTCACAAGTAGTTTTTCTCAATTCACAAACTTTCTATTTTACTTCGAGATTGATTTGCATACGATTTAGCTTGAGCCATCAAACACCAGAGCAGACGTAGAGAACTCGGTCAATTACTGGGAAACTAAACCCCAAACAAAAAATCTCCACCCACCACAATTTATACCACAAAAAAATAAGATAAGAATGTCTAGCCTACCCGTAAAGTAAATGGTAGCAAGCAAATTGCATGCCCCCTGACATTTTGATGTATTGCTGAACAAATTTAACTGCCAGAAACCAACAGCTACTGAACAAAAAATCCACCCTTACTGATAAAACAAGTATATAAGGATAAACCATGCTGTTAATACAATTTAACTACTAGCTAACGATATTATAGTACTTCAAATTTGAAATTTGAGCAACAACTTAAGAAACAAACATGAAATATGATTAATCTAATAGGCAGCAACAGCTTTTATGAACTTTAGAAAAAGTCGTATGAACATAGAGACCTAGCTAACCTTCGTACAAAAAAATCTCAAAAGAAGAGAAACTAAGAGCTAAAATTGAAGAACAAAGATTAACAAAATGAGATAAAAGTATTGCATATCCTCAGTTCAGTATCCAGACTCCAACCATTATATCACAGGAATCCTAATTATGAAGGCAGTGTGAAAGAATACAATGATTAATGTTCCATACTACTTGTTAACCACCAAAGAATACTACTCCCTCCGTTCCTAGTTATCTGTCTATATAACTAACTCTGCAAGGAGAGGGGAATGAATACTTAAATGTGCTTTCCTATATGCATATATATGGTCTACAGTAAAGGGAAGGGAGGATGGGTTGGGGTTCAAAAGCTCAACTCAGTGGTACCATCCGGGGGGGCAAGTGGACTTTTGCCACTAGCTCTGCTAACCTTGGTGGTTTGTGTGTGTGTGTATAATTTAGAAGAACTTGGCAATTTTTTACAAAAAAAGTTGTGTTGTTTGACTTCCTTTTCAATTTGATTGGTATCCTCCAAAGACAATCAGAACTTGCACGTGCTCCATTTCATAGAATATGTAGAAGTCCCATCATCTCCCACCTTTTTACAGATAATCATCCAAACCAGAAAAGTTCAATCCTACAAAAACCATTTTTCACTACAATCCTTTCTGTTCATCAGAAACTCTAGAGCTGCACCCTATTCTGGAGTTCATTCTTCCATATTCTCAACCCAAAACACTCAGGAGCTTATTCTTCCATATTCCACGCTAACAACTATTGAAAGCTCTAATCCCATCTACCACACAACATGAGTGCAGATAAAATTGACCAAATGATACCGAGCAAAATCTGCTTCCTTGTTAAACAGCACCAAAAAGACTGGGTCACTTGACGATTCAAGTCATTTAATGCTTTTTTAGGTATTTTTTATTACTTCCCGGCAACATATATATTTAGCCCAAAAAAAAAAAAATCCTCCCAACATTATCAATAGAATTAAAAGATAGAAAAGCCAATTGCTCTATAAATCAAATTCATTTTTGAGAAGGCCATTGAGGAAGGTATGAAGCTCTAGAGGCATAAGCTCTGTAAAGGATGTGACAGGAAAGTATGTTTGGTACGGAAATGAAACAGAACTTTCATTTCAAAATGAATTCATCATAGAATTCATTCTCATGTTTTAAAATTTTTGCATCAGATGACCCAGATCATCTTTGCAAAAGTCTAAGAAAAGAATGCAACAAATAAGCATCAAAAGAGAAATCAAAAGCACCAAACTTGCAGAAACTGAAAAAATATAGCATGGACTACAGAAATAGTCAAGAACAAATGAAAGTGAATATAAAAATCATAGATGGTATCATGGGAGAAAAGTCAGATCATATAGGAAATACTTACTAAACTTGAGAAGCATGCAGTTTTCTGCCCTAAAAGCAATGAAAGAGAAGGATAATATTAAAAACTAATTTTCAAGATGAAAGTATCCAAATTAACATTGGAAAACTAAGAACTAATTACTTACAAAAATGAGCTCTCACTTCAGGGCTGACGTCTACACCAACAGTGCAAGTGCCTCCAAAATGATTGAACCATGGATCAAATGTAATGCAATTTCATTAGGAATTCATATTTCTAAAGGTGAGAAATATAAATGAAAGCCACCAAGACAAAAGAGAGAAAAAGAAGAAGAAGAAGAAGAACAAAGAGAACAAAAAAGGAAGCAGAAGAAGAAGAAGAAGAAGAAATGGAATGAAATCCGAATATATGTAAAAAAGCAGAGGCCAACAAGACAGACAGAAAAGACAAAGTTTGACATAGACAACAAAGGCATGGATAATAGCTGATTGACATTCAGGTGTCTCTAGAATCTATTAAATCCCAAAATCTAACTTCCAGTTGTTCTTCACATATGTCATGCCATGGGAAAGCATCAAAAATATTATGACTCTGCCATGTATACAAGGAAAACAGACATTGAAAAATCAATCACAATAATCAGTTTCAAGAGTGTCACAATAGCTCCCAAAAAAACAATCCAAGATACCTTCTCCTGGGTGCCTTTTAACCATTTAAACACAGCAGGGTTGCCTCAAAGTAGTAGCTGATACCCTGAAGGAAAAAGTGAATTAGACTTTCCAGGACCCAACCAATTCTAATGAAATAGTAAAAATAACACAGACTGACACTTGTAAGAAAATGAAAATGTAACCAACAAGCGTTAGTACAGTACATAACCTATATAAAAAACTGGAACTACATCGAAGCAGCTGAAACCAGCAAACCATGCAAGTCAAAAAAATGAGAGATCACCAGATTGCCTTCTCCAATAAAAGACATAAAACAAATACAAAATTATTACCATAAAATCACAGGAAATAGAGTTTATAATTTTCCTATTATTTTCCTAAAGTATGGTATGAGAAAATGCATGATTAAATTTTCACTATGGCCAATGAACTATTACAATGTAAAAGAACGCCTTTGGCGAGTTGTCTTACAATAAACAGTACAATCCACTGAAAGAATCGCCAGTAAAGAGTACTCCTGATCAAATACCATCCTCTTGACTTCAACCACGCCAAAAACAGTGTCTGGAGCTTTATGGCCAGCACAAGTAAAGAAAGACAATTCCCAAGGATTAGAAATCTGAATATCAGTTAGCTCATAATGTACAAAATATCTAGGGCAACAGCATTTCGGGAGTCAAAATCAGCAGCATATTTCACTTGCCCGTGATGAATGGATGATTCAATGCCTGATGTACTGTTAACCGTTTCTCTGGATCCAGCACAAAATTTTTTTCTAGAAGATCTTTAAAGTTAGCTAGCATCTTTGGATCCTCACCAGGATAGCCCAGAATAATTGATCCAATATCTTTTGGCTTTATGTTGAGAATCATCCTTGTAATAGTCTGAAAAATGGAGTTAGATTCTTAGAGGAGATATAAGCCATCACAGGACCCTAGATCCCCATTAAAATAGACATTTAAAAAAAAGATACCTTTTTGGTAACAGTATCCTCTTCTGTAGCATGAAAATTCAGATCTTGATCAAAGTGTTGATCAGTAAATGCTCCCTGTAATAAGAAACCAAGATGAAAGTGACATTATGATAAGCAATGAAAATTAAATACAAACAGCAACATGAACATAATATGTCCCAGCAAAGAAAACCAAATTGGAAGGTCTTTGAACAACCTTTGATGGCTAGCAGTAACAAAACATATTCAATTCCAAAGGCAAGAGCATAATAAAAATATATAACAATTGATGTCAAATAATGCAGATTTCAACCCACAAATTAAATGGCTTAAGTCAAAAGTAAACAAGTGAATTTTTTTTTTGAAAAAAAAAAAAGAGTAAACAAGGGAAATCGTTACCTTACGAAGCATCTTCTTTGGAAAAGGGCCCTTCAACTCCATGTGAAGGCGTAACATGTCATTGTTCGTAGCACCTGGGAAAAGAACCTTCCCTGTATAAAGCTCATACAAACAGCAGCCAACAGACCACATATCCATTGGATGATCATAAGGCAAGCCAAGAACTGCATTATAAAGAGCCATCAAAACCAATACCTTATAGAGATAGATATAATAACAAACAAACAAAATAAAATAGCTTCACTCATACTAAATAACCAAAAAAACAGCTTGGGCTTATCACTTACTTATTTCTGGGGCACGGTAAAAGCGGCTCACAAGATATGGTGTGATTTCATTTTTACCAGCAAACATAGCATTACCAAAATCGCAAAGCTTCAGCACATTTTTTGCCTCATTTACCTAAGAAGTCAAGGAATAAATAGATGATAGTGAACATTTCGATTGAAGCAATAAACTTAAAGCCAGGAATGAGTAATAAAGATGTACCAGCATGTTATCGGGTTTTATATCACAGTGAAGAACACCACAGTTCTTAAGATGCTTAAGCGCAATAAAAAGCTGCTTCGCATAAGCCCTGACAGCAGTTAGTTTAAGACCAATATTGCGACCAAACTTCTTTAGAACCTCACGCAGATTCATATGAAGAGATTCAAAAACTAAACAAAGATGATTCCTGTACTTGAAACTTGAAAGGAAACGAACACAATGTCTCTTGTTCTCTGGATCTGCTCCAGCTAGTTTCTTTAATATTTGAACCTCTAATTGACCAGCCTTGTGCCTATCAAATCAGTACAAGTAAAAATATTTAATGAGAATATTGAGGCAACAAGTTATATGAAAACCTTAAGTAACAATGAGCAGCTAAAGTGATCACCCACATTGTCTCATTATTTCGTATGATCTTTATAGCCACTTCATCAACATCTCCGCTACCAGCCTTAAGATCCTTGGCACGTACTACAGTAGAGAATACACCTTTTCCATGAGCAGCAGTTACTTCATACCGACCATCTAGTATCTCACCAACCCGGTAGCCTGATAGTGGACAACAAGTGCATGGTTAAGCATAAATAAACTTCCAAAAGTCAAACCCAAAGGCTGTAACTTTTTTTCCTTGTTCTTTGATTTGATGCCAAAATAACAGCAGCAGAAACTGGCAACAGTCATTCATGTGGTTGTGGGATGTGACATATTTACTGGAGAAGAAAAGTTATGGATCACGGTAATCACCATAAGCCATTGTGTCTATAAAAAATTTTTCAATGTCAAGAAAAAAGCCAAATAAATAAATAGTTGATAGCATAGCATTTCTCATTTCACTTTTCTCTTAGTTGAAATGAAAACACTGTAATAAAAGAAGTTTGAAAACCAAATGTTCATTTTTTTTATCCCAAAACCATAGAAGATATGCCATTTTAATTTAAAAGCAAAGCACTTACTATAGTATCCTTCAGCATCATCCCAATTGTCATGAAGACCACTCCTTATGATTGGTAAACCTTCCCCTTTAACCTGAAAGTATATTCACAGTCATAACAACTTATTTCTATATGAGGAAAAAAATCAACAAAATTAACAGACTAAGGTAACCAACTATTAGAAAGCATACATATGATCATGTAACAGAACTGAACCCACCCTTCATTTGAACCTTATAAAAAGCCAATTATGTAGAAAACATCTTCAAACTGAACAGTTACAGTATTAACACCATTCCCCCATCCCCAAGACTGATCAAATTTAGCTTTAGCGTACTCAGTTTCCTTGAGAACTGAGAAAAAGAACTTGGAAAAAGTAATGATTGTGCTACAGCATTGAACACAACCCAGAACTGTGCTAAGTTCACAACAGACTGGAATATGCATAATTTCAATATACAATAAAATCTAGCTGGACTTTCATCAACCAAGGCAACAGATTAATCCATATTCCCTAGACAATCACCAAAACATTTCAAATGCCATGAAACTGTTAAAAAAACTAACAAGAGATCATCAACATGACCCATATTATTCAACTGCCATTTAATGTACAAATACAATTCACCAGGGCAACAGAAACAAGCATAAGTGGGAAAGTTGGGTACCGATTTTTGAACTCTTGCTGGCGTTTCCCCAAATATATCATCACAGAACTTCTCATCTGATCCTTTGCTCTGTACAAATCCATAAAGAAATCAAAACCATAAGGACTCAAACCATAAAAACCAAGTTCAGCATGTCAAGAAAATAGGTATGCAGTTATGGTTCCTGAGAAGCATAGATATCACTGGTCAGAATTTAGACAAATGGATGCCAAGATGTCAAAGAAGAACAATAATGCACCTTTGGTGTACCCTCACCAAGCCCAGCAGCACCAGTTTTCTCAGCAGCAGCTTTCCCATTTTGTGTAGGTGACTTCCCCACAGACAATAAAGGGTCAGCCACATAGACATCTGCTCCTCTATCATGTCCATCATCAACAACACTTGTACCAGTGTCAGTTGCAGACAAGAATTGGCTGTGACCTTCTGTAGGTTCAATATCTGGTTAACAGAAAACAAAAAATGTTTTCCATTTAGCAGTAACAACACAAATAAATATTTTTGCAGGGAGACAACGCTGTCATCTTACTAAACAAAATTCACACCTGGCAAGCCTATCCAAGCTCAACCACAACTAGTTAAACTTTCTATTCTAGGTTACTAATGATACTACATTAATGTGGGCTGTACGCCAATTCTGAACTTGCCTCTCTAGAAACCTTAGCAACAAACCAGAAGAAGAATCATTTTTAATTCCAAATCAAAGGAAACTACACAAAGCATAGATTTCGATATGCATGGCATGGGCAGTATGAATTGCCAATTTGCAGATTTTATAAATAAAACTTCACAGAAAATTGTTATATGAGAGTAAGATTTAGGTCAAGCCTCAACCAAGAAGCACACCTACCAGAATGACAATATTTAACAGAAGAAACTCATTGAAATCTAGCAATAAAGAATAGCTTCAAGAACAGTCTGGAAGCTAATTCTAAGATTATAAGGGGAGAAATAATGCCACTAAAGCATCAAAGGGTTAAATAGCACCTTTCTTCGTATCCTCCAGACAAGACTCATTTTGCTGCTGCAGTTGCTGATTCTTATATTTTTCTAAGATGGCTTGCCTTCGCTTTCTGCTTTCCTCTCTGATTCTATTGAGTTCTTCCTCTTCCTGTTCAGCAAGTTTCAAGGTGATTTTTTCTTCAAAATCCTCATGTTCATCTTTGTCTCTGCACCAGTCACACCAAATATCATATACATAAGCTAATGAGAATAATAAAATACCAAACAAAGATAATTTTTGGATACAGTACCTTCTTAATTTATCTCCATCTCCTTCCAAAGAATCACTGCAAGGACCATGGGCATTTGCTTGATCAATCTTCCTTGTTCTGTCCCAATAACTTTCTGTTTCATCTCGTCTTGAGTGCTTAGAATTCTTATACCTGTCTAGATCACCACAGCTATCATTTTCTATCTCAATATTCATGCCTTTATCCTTACTTCTGTCATTTTTCCTCTCCCTGTCTCTCTCCCAGTTCCATTGGCCATCAATCTCCCTTATCCTATCTCCATCTCTGACACTAACTCTGACCCTATCCCCGCTCCTATCCCTTTCCTTCTCCCGCCTCCCACCCCTAGTCACCTCCCTATCCTGGCTCCTCTCTCGAATCTCCTCCCTTCTCCTTTCACTGTCTATATCCCTGTCCCTGCTCCTCCCTCGCTCTTTCTCCCTTCTCCTCTCACTATCCATCAGTCCAACTTTGCTCCTTTCCCTATCCCTCTCTCTGCTGCTCTCTCCTTCCCTGTCCTTTCTCCTTTCCTTATCCATCTCTCTGTCTCGGCTCCTCTCTCTCTCCTTGTCCCTTCTCCTTTCCCTTTCTCTCTCTTTGTCCCTACTTCTCTCACCCCCCTTTTCCCTTCTCCTTTCCCTGTCCATCTCTCTGTCTCTACTCCTCTCTCTATCTTTTTCCCTTCTCCATTCCCTGTCCATCATCTCCCTGTCTCTCCTCCAATCGTGCTCCTTCTCCTTTTTTAAATCTCTATCTATCTCCCGCTCCCTACTCTTTGCTCTGCTGTAACTGACACTGTGTCCCCTTTCCTCATCCCTTACCAAGTCTCCACTTCTATGTCGTTGATTCAGACTAGCATCCCCATCCTGTTCATGACGGCGTTGTCTTTTTAAAAGGGATTCCTCATCCATTATGCTCCTTGAACGAGATCTATCTCTGGCATGATCACTCGATCTTGATCTACCCCTAGTGCAATCATGATATCTCTCATCCAATGGTGAATTAGCTGATGCTTTGTACTTTCCCCCAGAGCTGTCAGAGGACAGTAACTTTCTCGAGTCATTCAATGGGCTGCCATCAGCCTCCTCCATATCCTCCAGGTAACTCTTTTTCTTGACACTTTTTTTTGGAGGGGAACCAGACTCCCTACCCCTATTCTCGTTAATATGACCTACAGAGCCAGCTTTAGAGAATGATTGCTCTTGAGGCTCAGGGCTAGAAATTCTACGCAAACCAATGCTATCAAAATTCTTATCGGTACTCTTTTCGTCACTCTTTACTACTAGATCCCCCACCCGATGAATGTATTTAATGATTCCCTACAAAACAACAGACAAAAAGTAAGCATACAAGCTCTTAAGGAATAGTTCTTAGAGTTGAAATAATTTGCAGTAGTATATGCAGCAAACATCCAGAATAAATGGATAGTACGCCATCAGATTCAACTGAAATGCCTAGGAAACACTTCTTTTGCAACTCATTCATAATGAAATTGAAGTGTAGTGCTACAAGCATGAACTTAGTTTGTACAAGACACTCAGTATGTAATCTTACAATATCTCACGAACCAAAAATTTATATTCAAAGTAATACAAATAAGAACAAGGAAGGGAAAACAGAACACACCGGATTGGAACCACCACACTGATCACCAGATTCACCAGCCTTGATATCGCCGATGGATTCCTCGTCAAGAATCTCTCCTTCCTCCACATCATCATCGTTCCGAGAACTATTCTTATCCAGCGCATGCGAAGGAGGAGAAGGAGCAATCTCATCAACGCCATCTGCGTTCTTCTTGCTTCGGTGGCGATGATGGCGGTGCCGATGGTGGCGATGCTTGTGTCGTTTGGATGATTTCTCCGACTCCTCATCATCGGATGGGGATCGACGGTGCTTGCGGCGATGCAAATCTTGAGTGTCGCTGGCCATTAGCTGCCGATTGCAAGGAATCTAGGGTTAGGGTTTGTGGTGGGATGTATTCTTTGTTCTTGGAGGTTCCTGGAAGAGCGAAAAATTTGGAAATGCTTGTAAATTTTGGTGCCTAAACGCAGTGGAATTGCGCAGTCATCCTTTTGGAATTTGCAAATTACCGGATTTGGGAGAAGGCTTGGCGGCTGCTAACTGATTTCAGAAGCCGCGTTTAACTAGATTTTCACTCCTGCTTTTCGTTTCAAACTCTTTCGGTTTTGTTTATTGTGAGAAATATTACGTGTTTATTTTATTTATTAGCTATTGATTTCCGAATTTATTGTTTTTTATTTGAAATTATTATCTTTATATCTAAAAATCACATTAAATTTTAATTAATTTAATATCCAATCATATCATAATTATATTAAAAAAAAACTCTTTTAATATTTATTTTTTATATTTAAAACATCTGAATTCAAAATCTTTTAAAATTTTTTTTTTTCTTTTTATACATTACCATGCATATCATTTCCTCATGTTTAAGAAAACCAGAGATAACGATTTCCCTCCTATTATATAAAGAGTGTTCAATTTTTATAAATTTTTAATTATTTAATCTGCTTATATATATATATTAGTAATGTTTCTCTCAAATTAATTTAGGAGAATTATATCTTTTAATAATTTGACATCACAATTATTCTAAAATTTTTAACAATTGATATAAGTGCATGATGAGAGTTTAAGAAAAACTTTCTTCTAATCATTTTCCTCATTCCAAATATGAGATTAAGAATTAAAATTTAAAATTATTTTACCGAAATTTCCTATCTAATGGTGAATTTGAGACATGTTATAGCAAATTTATTTCTGAAATTATCTTATGAAGTTGATCACATACATTGTCACCTGAATTGGTGTTTCTTGGGGGGCATGTGTTTTCTACCTATATATCCATCAAGTTTCTATATTGAATTCTCCATGAAAGGAAAAAAAACTTATGAAGATATGACAGAGCATGGACAAATGATCGTCGGCTGTTCATCTACTTGCTCATAGCTGCTGCCACCAAACGGATGAATGTCCAATATCTCGACCCTGCGATTCATCCTGTTTCTTATTTTTATGGCAATGTCTGAGGGTCTAAATCTCCCACATACGCTTAACAGGCAATGCTCCTTGTCGATCATATGTGTCTCCACTTCTTTAATGACAAGATGGAAGAAGGGTTAGCAGAATGAAATTTAAGTGCTTATTTATCAGCAACCCATATTGTTACCTTTCATATTGAGGAGGATTCTTCTTAGTTTTCTGCAACAGCCATTGCAGTCTATGTTGAGTCTCATCACCATGCACCAAACCTGATGTTGTAACAGAGAAAACAACGCCATGTTAATATGTAATCTCTGAAATTATTGAGAAATTGGAAGCGTTTAAGCAAGGTTAATGCAAATAGGAATTCAAAAGGAGAAATGATCATCAAGAAATATATATTATATTTTGTTATACTGTTACCCCTGATGACATGAGATTGGGGGATTTTGGGTAGTGAAAATTGATATGATTTCTTTCACAGAAAAACAAAGTTTGTGGAACATAAATTATGTCATGGAAACTCAGCCGCCTCATTTGGGAATCTGATTCTGCTTAGACTAAGAAAGAGGGCAGTGTTATGCCATTCTTGGTTTATTATCTCGGTTTCCTGTTTCTTATTTACAAAGGTTTCTGTTGCAGGAAAATTAAGATAACTAATAACTTTGATTTGCCTGGAAGATAAGAAAAATTAACAAAGACAAAGAAACATCCAACCATTTTTCACTGGTTTCTGTACAATGTCCACAAGTATTATTTATCTATGCATATAAGTGGACATGACAAATCCAACATATAACTTTGTCATGAAAAATTCTGTGCTATAATTTCTTGGCATGTTTTCAACTGTGGGAAGAGCGAAAAATTTTCTTAATCATGGCAATTTTGTTGAAAGGTTTCCGGTATATGGCAGGAGCTTGTTTGGAAGGTAGTTCGACAGCACCAGGGTATTGACAGGTGAGTGTCACCTTCTTCTCCAACACATGAACCAACACGGACTCTGTTTCTGCCAAGAAACTACAAAATTAGTAGTGGATCTAAATCACACAGACGCAGTTCTTAATGACAAGGAATGATTGATTCTGGGAAATGTATTGAAATGAGACATGTTTCTAAGAGAACTTAAGGGAACTTTTTATCTCTGTTACTGTTAAAACATAAAACATTCCTTAAAGGAGCTTTTGCAAAGCAAAATAGTAGATTGGATAGATTTCCTGACTTTTTGGACCTTTTACTTTATTCTGATATGTACTTTTTGGAATTTCATCACAGTAAAAAGAAGATCAATCTGAACTTTTGAAAGATCAGCACAGAAAACTCCTCATTTTGTAACCTTTATTCAGGGCAGAAATGGTACCTACCTTTCATCCTTGATATTATGTCTGCCACTCTCTTTTGACACCGTGCACATCTAATATCTGCAGATAGAACAATTTCCTGAACCTGCTTCCAAACAAGGTGATGCATCCAAATTCAGTACAAACTCTAGTCAGCGATCAAAATTAACAGAAAGAGAAGGAGAGAGAGTACAAACAAGAGGCATGGACAAGGATTCGACAGAGGCCAGACTAGATCCGGGAAGAAGAATGTTCTTTGACTCAATGAATTCAATCCCGGGAAGCTCCTCCTCAGCCTGAGCAGAAAAAGCCATGCCTTTGTCTGAACTGTACAAAGCCTTCCCAGGGAAGAAAAGGGAAGAAAATGATCTAAGAACAGCTGCAGCTGTAGTGAAAGATAAAGCTCATCTTTGAAATGCCTCAGTTGTTGGAATGAGAATCTTAAAGAAAACATGGTAAAGGTGTTGAAAAGTCTTCATGCTTCGTTGACAAAGATGCTTCATGTGCTACAGAGGTAGTCCCCACCACTGTTTTCCCAAATTTCCTTCAATAATTCCTTTTCGAGGTTGCTTATAAGACCGGAGGTTGATTAATTCCCTCACGTCATCGTGGGATTAGGTAAACGAAAGCAGGTAAACCACACAAGCTCGAAAGTTTCAGGTTCACTCTGTAGACAACGTGAAACCTTCGACCAATTAGATTTTAATTGTTCAGCAAACCAGAAAGGTAGCTACATGTAGGTCCCCAAAGAGAACCTAGTTCAGACGCCAGACTACAAGTGCATCATTTCTAGAATGTGTCACCTACACACAGTATATTTGTTGAAACGTAAGGGAAATCTTCATATCCAGAAAGCTTCAAGTCGATAGAATTGATTTGGAGTTGATCTGGCGATGTACCCTGGAGGGAAATCCTGGATAAATCAGCAAATCTTCTAGTTTCTGCAACGCCAAGCGAATGCCAGCGCGTTGATCACCTAATACAATGACGTCATAGGGAAGGAAATGGCCAGGAAATAAGGGATTAAGCTACTAAATTACAACATCAACATTAGAACCGAATGGCCCCGCCAGTGTTTGTTTAAAGTCATGCAGAATTTGGAATTTTGGATCCTCCCCTGAAAGTGGGAACCACCTGCGTTCTTTCCAATTATCGGCACAGAAAATGACATTTAGGAGCGCAGGGAAAGCCTGCCCACAATTCAAATGCATTCCCAACAACCAACTTCGCTGTTGCTGCTAACAGAAACAAATAACACCGGAGAACGCAAGATGAAATATCATACAACATGCACAAACAAGCAATTCATAATCTAGAAGATGTGACCAATTAATTAATTTTTAACAGAAATAAAAACATTGCAAGAAATTAAAATATAACTTTTTATTGTGAAAAAACCATTATACAAATTACATGAAGCAGAGATTCTTCCACAAACCTAGATAAAGGTCAGGGATCTAAAGGGTTACCCTACTGCACCCAAAATTGCTGACTGAAACTTGACTCCCAGCCCAAAGGTTAATGTTACATTTAAATACAGAAGTAATTGGATGCCATGATTTCTGTGTTAGACTACCTGCCTAATTCAGATGCCTCAGAAGAGCTGCTGCATCAAGTAGATGCACCACAATATGATATGTACCTCTGGTAAAAAAGAAGAGGCAGAAACTTGCCAACAAATATCAACAACTTGGCATCCCAAAGGGTAAGAGGATGATTCACCTAGACATAACCAAGCTTGTTAGAGGAGGCACAACTGAAGAATTGAATAGTGAGTCACCTACATATTTGCAGTTCTCATGGTCAACTTTTAAGGGAGTAGAAATCAAAGATATTTCACATGTGGCGAGAGACTCCATAGCCTTTTTTGTGCTTTTACTGTGATTATCACTGCAATTCAGCTTCTGGACAGAGAACCCACCTACACGGGTTCTCTTCCTCGATGATTTCCATTTCAACTGGGAAAGTAAATCTTTTGATAGATCCAGAACCTGCAGTGAGTTTGTTGCACCATCGTTTCTGGAATCCAAATTAGAATCATTACATCTAGGATCATCTTGCTTGATCTGTGTGCTGCCACAAATTGCAGTTTGGACAGAGTCGCAAACAAATGATTTCTCCACATCTTGACTTTTACCCATGTGAGTGAGAATGGTGTTCACTAGATCAGGCCTCTCCTTTATAAAAATCCACCCATTCCCCACCCAGTCTTGAGAATGTCTCACATCACCATGCCCAACGACTGCTTCCTGATTTTCTCCTGTTCATAACATGCAAATTAGGACTGGTAATAAAAAATGAAAACATTAGAATACTTAATAAATTACATGTGAAAAAACAGTTTCGAACCTGGAAAATAAACATGAAGTTTGTCTTCAGCAAACTTCTTAACTACAATGCCTTCCCACCATCCATCATGCCACCAAGCATCCACAACAGTTCCAACATCAACAATCAATGAAACCCTGCCCTGGTTCAGCAATGGTGAAGGTCGAACAGTTGTCCTTCCACAAACCCTGATTCCCAACTGATCAGGATTGGCAACCCTGGAAGCCAAAATCCATTCCTACAACACCAAAAAATAGTTAGTAAGATGAGTGAAAATATTCAACAATAGAAGTAAGGGTTACCATTGGTCTTAATTAAGAAAACAAAAACAAATACCTCTAACTTATTAGCTTCATCAGCTGCATCTTGAATATCTTGATATCGAACCTTCACCTTATTTTTGTGCTTCTTAATTATCAAAGCTCTAAACCAACACCCTCTAAGGCCACTATCCTGAGAGAATACTTCAACTTGAGAACCTACTTTCAAATACTGAGAAGAATTCTGCTTTGCCTCGTCAGGGGATAATGAGGGAGACCCTGGTCTCTTTTGTCTGCATACATCCATTCCTGTTTTGCAATCAATCACACTGTTACTAAGATTTTGTTCATCTGCACATGCTGCATCTACCAACCCATTCCTCTTAAGGTTATGCATGCATATATCATCATCTTTTGACAGACAACGCTTCTTCCTAGGTCTAATTAAGACATCATCATTGGTCTTCACATCTGCTTTCTGGTCATCAGCATTTCGCTGAAAAATCAAGGTACCATTCAAAGGAGACGCAGCTGACAAATATCTAACAAGATCTTGTTTCCAGTAACCCTTAACCTTGGTTATGTCGAAGGGCTTGACATAATCATTTTCAAACAGCTTGTTGCACATAAATGGCTCCAACTGAGAATGAATTGCCAAGTTTGAAAATTTCTTGAAATGCTGGGGACTGAGGACAGCAGCCAATCCATCTATGCATTCGATGCAGAGATCTTGAAGACAAAGAGAAAAGAAAATCTCTCTGTCATTAAAATTGTGAGGCAAAACAATACCAACCTCATCAATTTTGTGAAACCATCGTACCACAACCATCTTGTTTCCTCTGGAGTCCTCATACATATCTTCAAGATAAGCAACAAGCCGTTTATCTGCCTCAGCTAAGACATACACAAAATCATTAACCTGTAAAGATTTTTACAAAACTTGGATGAGCACACACACATATCAAGATTGGCTCGTTTACAAAAACTAAAACTTAAATAGGGGGAAATCTGTTAATTAAAACAATTGCACTCACTGAAATTTCAACACCATTCCGTCGGAAAGACAAATAATGATTCCGTCTTCTTCGTCCAGTCCGTGGAGAACCTAACCATGAAAATTCTCTAGTATATTTGCCCAGCTTCCTTGATTGAAGGTCCTACAAAATAGGATAACGAATATAAACATATTAATAATTCAACATAATCAAAAGAAATTTCAAAAAGAACCAAAAAAATCTATAAATTAATGATACAACTCATACCTTGAAACATTCAAGGTCCAAATTACTAGTGTATCTGGCACTAGAAAATCCACCAGCTTCTTGGGAGTGTTTAGGAGGAGATGAATCTGAAAATTGTAAAAACACAATTTAGTATAAAACAGAGCAATCAAACTTCAAAGTCAAAAACTGCAAGGTTCAAAGAAAAAAGAAAAAGAAATGCCACGTAGTGGAACTGGAAATGAATATGCAATGGAAAGAACATCGAGTGTAAAAAAAAGACCAAGACATAAACACGCAGGCACCCCGGCAAATCCACAAATGTAAAAAATCAAGTTATAAAGATGGGGTACCTCGGCAGGTCATTCAACAATCAATTACAGGTAGCAGAACAGATAAAGAAAATTTAAAGACAATATTTTTCCAACTAGAAACATATATATTTGGCTATGAAAGATCATAACCTAGATAATTCAGGGCATAAGGATGGCCACTTCTCAGCGAGCTCTTTAAAATTGAAATAGCAATCCTGCAGCCCAGATCACAGTCAGTAAATCTTACCATGAGCATGTAAAATGCTATGATGTTGAAGGCTAGCATAGGATCTCACGCATATAGCCAAAATCATACGAGAAACCCATAAAAATTTGTTGGAGCCATCCAATATTGAAAATAATGAATAAAATAGATCCTCCAAAATAAATAAAAAAATAAAAAAAACGAACCCTCCTAGAACTCATGGATTGGATATGTATAACAGAAGGCTAGCAAGATCCAATCACCGACTTGAAATTGAAAAACAGCTAGGGAAGAAATTCATCAATTTCGGACGGTAGGGGGGGGGTCCCCTTAGATAGAATAGGAAGAACTGGCTGAAAATTTTGATGACTTTGGCTATTAGCGCTCAGATCTAACAAAACCCTAACAGACAAACCCTCACCAAATCCCTACCATCCCCAACATTCCAAAAACTAAAACTTGATGAAGAACAGATTTTTTTTTTTTTTTGGATCGGCGTGAAAAGCAGAATTATTACCTGAAACAACTGAGTTGAGCCAATCAATGACCTCCCTACGGGACCTGAGCTTCCCAAGGGCCATCCAAGAAGCGAAAAGAGGGGCGTTTCTAATAGCGAATCGATACCTCATATGCCTCAAGCTCTTTTCTTTGCCTATTATCACCAGATCTGAGCCTCCATCTTTCCTATTCAAATAATAACGAACCTCCCTCCAGCCTTTGTCGCACGAAACATTCACCTCGTCCCAGCTATCATAAGACGCCACTTCCGACAACGGCGACGACGACGGTGCCACTCTCTCCATATCCTAAAAAGGAAGAAGATTTGGTTGGGTCTGGAATCAAGAAAATGAAAAAGAAAGAGATTTTGAATGAACGAATCCGGGGGTTGCAGAGATGCGGGCGGGACTTTTGTGAGGGAAATATGGGAGAGAAAGAGAGGGAAGGGGAACGCGGAAGATGAATCTTATTTATGAAAAATAAGAAGGGCGGTGGAGTAATATGATAGGGTTTCGAGATTGGGGATTTTGGATGATGAACGGCTCTGATCGCGTCTGTGGCGATGATTCGCAGGAAGCTCGTAGGAAATTGCGGGGGCTTACCATGTGGGGATTTTTGAGTTCTGAAAATGCCCTCAAAAATGTTTGGATTTTACTCGGCGCCTATCTGTCACGTATGGACGATGTCGTTTAATGGGTTGGTGACAAGACACAAGTTGGAGGGAAGGAAAGTGGAGCCCGCAATTGGCGGTGTAGATAGTGAAGACTCGGTCCGCCTGATTGCCAACTGTCGTTTTTGCAGTATTTGTCCCTGATTTCGAAATTTTTAAAAAATTTTATGATTGAAGAAT